TCGATATGAAGGTTAAGGTAAGCCTTTAGAAGCCAATTTACTTGCTCGAGGAGAAATCAAGTGTTAAATATCGCCGAAGATGCCCTTCATTTTGCAAACTACAAAATCACTCAGCTCCTGGACAGTGTGATTGCCTAAAAAGTACTCCAGAACTAATTTAAAGATCTGATTGAAACATTAGAGCTGATAAACGTTCMCATTTCACTCAAAAGTATTTCTAAAGGTGAGTTAAATGTTTTGCATCGAATATGCTGTAAAATTTCAAAATTACTACTATAAAAGAGCTGAGAATGCAAAACTCGCGACATTTGAGTGAATTTACATTGTACAAATGGACATTTCGGTCTATTTACAGCATGTCTGGGTAGATTTTGATATCATATCATGTAAATTAAGAAATATTTGAGCGATTAAGTAAAGGCATATTTACGTGTTTTCACAAAACCATGGTCTACATATCGTGAATTTTTTATAGGAAAACTTACTTTGCCACAAATTTTCTTTAGCACATGTGAAAGATCAGTAAATTCTTTGTTTGCAAACATAAGATGGATTGATTTGGATATATGGCAATGGAGATATAATTTTTTCAAAATATGGCATTTCAGACTTACGAAAATGGAGCAAAATATGGCTACCAACAAAGGAAGCCCAAAGTTAGGGAATTTAACTATTTCAACTGAAAATGCTATTTACGATAAAAGTTAAGATGTATTTTAACGCCTAATCCCTAAATTTGCTGATTATGAAAGTAAAAATACTATTTTGGGGGCTTTATTTTGCACATCAAATTGAGCTTGAAATTTGTGTTTTGAGGCACCAAAGAAACTGACTGCTCTTAAAAATCAGGAAAACTGAGATTCCAAAAACCAAATGGTTTTTGATGATCAGTAACCCAAAGAGTATTAGTGCATGGAATATCATGAGAATCRGTGAGGTRGCCTTGCCAAGTGATTCTTGATGCTTACAGAAAATTGCTCTTAAGTCTTTAACTTGGTCATCAATATTCACAGCCATTACTTTCATTATTTTGGCACAAATTTTTGACGGATAGAAGAAAACCAGCGTAACTGAAAAAAACATCGGAGCAAGGGAGAGAACCAGATCATATAGTCCTGGATCGCGAATCGATCCGGAGCCACAGCAGTGATAGGCTAGGTTTGTTACCAATGGGCCATGCAATGTGAGAAACGTAAATGCGACTTTCGCTATGCACTTCGTATTATGGAAAATAACTATCACCACAGACATCAGAACCTCTATGTGAAGAATACTGGAACATTTGGGACGGGAGGACCTTTAACACTCGAAAATTTCCAAAAAAACAGTAATTTGGTATCCGTTGCCATGGCAACCTAAGTGTAAGTTTGACGACTCTTATRAATCGGTTGATATATACTTTCATGTTACTGAAAGAATGGAATGGTTCTGTCATGTATCTGGGGAGAAAGCAATCATTTGCTGTAAATGAAATGCTATACTGACAAACCCTTGTTCATACTAATCTACTCTCTTCTATCTACTTAAAAAAATAAGGAAATAACTCTAAATCATTTTTTAAGTATGGAATGCTGTCTTAAAGGCTAGTTAGCTCAAAAGTGATGAAAGCCATACGAATTAGGAAGAGAATATACTTTAAAAGATTGTGAAAACGTCTAAAAAACCTTTAATGTCCGTGTTGCCTTAGTAACTGTTGCCATGGTAWCCTGAATACACTTTTGATAACTTCCCTGGCCATGTTGACATGCACATTCCTATTTCTGAGGGATTGGAATGATTCTGTTATGTATTTTTGAAGATATCAATTATTATTTATGAGGTAACAATACAGTCAAAACATTGCGCACCCTACCCCCCTTAGAAAATGGCGATTTTCTCGCTTAAGCACAGGTTACAAGATTGGCAACAAGCAGATTCTAAAAATATAGCTCTTAAGCTTTTATTTGATACCAATTTCACTATGTCCCGTGGGGGGTGCTACGAAACCACTATCAAGTCGACCCCAGCTCATGGACTATATGCCAACCGGTGAGCACCTGATTGTACTTGTAGACTACTTCAGCAGATGGGTAGAGGTAGGCATCACACACTCTACCAGTTCAGAAAGCATCATAAAGTTCCTGGATGTACACTTTGCTCGATATGGTGTGCCCAARTCCTTGAGAACAGACAACGGATCCAACCTGGTATCAGCAGAAATAGAAAATTACCTAGATGAGATGGGAGTGCAGCACAAGTTAACAATACCGTTATGGCCTCGTGCAAACGGGGAAGTTGAACGACAAAACAGGTCGCTACTAAAGTCAATGAGAGCTGCTCATGCTGAGAAGAAGAATTGGAGGACTGAGTTAAACAAATACCTCATGGCTTATCGCTCAACAGCTCACTCTACAACCGGAAAAGCCCCAGCTGAACTACTTTATGGTAGGAACATTAATACTAAACTACCTGATGTGTCTGAAATGGTCGACAAAGGAGAGGAAACAGGTATGCAWCTTCAACAAGTGAAGGATTCTGACGCTGAAAAGAAACAAGCTGCAGCTGACTATGCTGACAAAAGGCGACAAGCAACAACGAAAACACTGTCAACTGGAGATCTTGTTCTGCTTGAAAAGAAGAAAGAAAACAAATTGTCACCGGCATACGAGATTGAACCCTACAAAGTCACAGCTCAGCAAGGAGACCAGATACATGTAGAGTCTCAACAAGGGGTAACATACAGAAGGAACATACAACACCTGAAGAAGTTCAATCCACCAGGACAGGACCTRGCGCCTGACCATGACTCACTGTCAGGAAGGAAGTTGGCACAGATGTTAACGGAGGGGAGAAAGGAGAGTCCACAACCAGTTCTTGAAAGTCCAGAAGATTCAGGACTGCGAAGATCCAGCAGAGTATCCAAACCACCCGATAGATATGGAGACTTTGTAATGGATAAGTGAACACTTTATWTATTGTACTAGTGGACACTTTGTTTATTTAGTTGAACATTTATTTGAACAGTTCTAGTTAGTGATGGCAACATCCAAGTATTATGTTTATGTGAACAGTGRACTCTAGKCAACATCATTAGACTCTTCATAATCAAACAACGTGTACAACTTAACCCTATGATTGTAACTGTAAGTTTATCATTTAACAATGTGTTGTAACTTAGTTTCAAAAAAGGGAGGGAATGTAGTGTATTGGATTCCCTGTGGAATATGTAAATAGGTCACGTGATTAAGTATGAGAGGAGAACCACGTTGTGTGTGAAAGCGAAGCGTCGTCTAGTTTGTTTTGTCTTGTTTTGAGTCTTTAGTCTTGCCTTAGTGGCTCGAGGAATATAACACATACCCATTGTGATGTCTTTGTATTCAAGATCACTCAGGCTCATCTGAGGTTCCAAAGCATTTTCCTTTTTCTGAAACAGATTCTCATTACCACTTATGCCTGCAATTCTGTACCCTSTGACTGTAAAATCCCACATTTTTTGTTGTGAATCCTTGTCAGCCTTCAGCTTTGACAGTCTCAGGTGCCTTAATGAAGTGCGCATGAGTTGCATGTTGTCTTGGTATGTTATGACAGGGGTTAGAGTTTAAATGTCATTTTAGTTACTAACTATTCTGACTAGTTCCTTTAGACAAGTTGTATTCAGAAGACTTTAAACAATAAACTGTGTGGAAGTAATGTATTTGCCTAAATCTGCGGTCACTGATTCCAAAAATATAATAATCAAATGCAACTTGATAACAAAATAGAACGACAACTCACATAACTGGATATGACTCTGACAATCCAAGATGCTGTAAAAGCTCTATCATTGATGGGCCTGCCCCATAACATATACATAAAAGCCCAAATAGCAGAGGAATATCATTAGCTTTCTTGTCTCGCACATCCATGAGCGATGCCAGAAGGTGAACACTAGCTTTTAGTTTCACTGTTTCTGTTCTTTGAGTGTTTCGGCTGATGTTTGAAGATAGAACAAGTTGTTCTAAAATGTTCATAACAGTTGGGCAATTTGACTGAAGTTTACANTGAGACACCTCTAAAAGCTTGAGCTGTATTTACCTGTGCAATTGTCAAATGAAAGCTTTGATTTGCAGGTTTGACTAGTTTCATCATGCTCACTGATAACACAATCATCACCTCGTATGGAATAAAAACATTTATGATTGATCATGATCACGACTGTCACTGGGTATCATAAATAAACATGGAGACAAATAAATACTATCACACATCAACAGTTATTTTATACCTTTAGGCATCTTGTTGGCTGGAGAATTACATGCCAATGGCTTAATGTTTATAGTACTTGCTGTTGGAATAAAATCATAATTTTGTAACTGATTTTAAATTGTCTTAGAGTATTTTTTTATAACCAAAAGCTATATAATTGTATAACCTGCAAATGATTTTAATCTAATTACAATACTGCTTGATATGAGTCAAGGATAACAAAAAAATCATTGTAAAATTCGAACATGTGGTATTTGAATCATGAGCACTTCTAATTGGTAGCAATTCCAAGTCTTTATAGTAGCCCCTTGATACGTTGGCCCATAGGGGACAGCACTTTAAACAAAAAATCACTGCAAACAAAAATGAGTCACACTGCAAATATAAATGAGACACCGCAACTAAACCGAAATCACTGCAAACAAAAATGAATCACACTGCAAACAAAAAAAACTTAAGCTTAACTTAAAAATCTAGCACTGCAAATAAAAAAAGTCGAACACTGCAAATAAAAAAATCTAGTAAATAAAACAAATCGAAGATATAAAAAAACGAACACTGCAAACAAAAAATCGCGCACTGCAAACAAAAAGTCGCGCACTGCAAACAAAAAATCGCGCACTGCAAACAAAAAATCGCGCACTGCAAACAAAAAGTCGCGCACTGCAAACAAAAAATCGCGCACTGCAAACAAACGTCCAAAAGACTGCGCGCGCACATATCAGCGGTCTGAAATTGCGGGCTCGAAAATATTTCCCGCCAATTCGTATTCCAAAATGGCGTCGACTGATGGTACTTGGAAAGAGGAACTAYGAAAGGCGATACAAGAAGAGATGCGTTCTTTTTTAGATCGAGACAAGCCTGGACCTTCGGGATTGAATGTCCAGGGGCCTTCCTCTTCAAAGAAACCAGATAAAACTTTGACTTTTGAGGAATTTTATACGAAACGAGAGGAAGCAAGAAGAGGTGATTTCAAGCCGAAGAAGAAGAAAATCAAACTTAGCTCCGACAAGAAGGACTCGACCCCTAAACAAGTTGAAGTAAAGGTCGCCTTGGCTTACCAAGATGATGGCATTTT